ACTGCGTTGGATGTATTGGACGAAGTCCCTGCCTAGGCTTGTATTGCTTTTGGATATCCAGAATTAAACCTTGCTTTTGCATTCCGGCATGCTCGTCTTTGGTGGTCTCTCTGGGGGTCACGATCTGGGCACAACAATTTAGTTACATATTTGTGCTTAAAATCCCACAAATTATAAACTAAATATTAATTAGTAAATACTGCTTTTTCTCTCAATTTTGCATAAAACAATTTTATTCTCTCTCTTTCTTTTCCTGTGCTTGTGACCAACAGAATCATGTTTTGGGTCCTCTCACAGTGAGATTCTGGAGTCTACATTTGAGATAATAGAGCACTTAATCTCAAGACAAGTTGTGTGTGTGTGTGTGTGTGTGTGTGTAATAATGTAAGCACCTCCCAAGCAAGTACATGGAGGCAGATGGAATCCCTAAATTTACTCTTTTCTAAAGTTAACCTTCCCAAGCACATCCATGATAAAGGAACAGATTCTCATGTCTACATGCCCTTTCACAGAGGCAGGAGGATCTCAGTGAGTTCAAGGCCAGTATGATCTACAAAACAAATTCCAGGATAATCAGGACTGTTACACAAAGAAACCTTGTCTGTCTCAAAAAAAAATGGGGTACAGATCTAAACAGAGAATTTTCAACAGAGGAATCTCAAATGGCTGAGAAACACTTAAGGAAATGTTCAACATCCTTAGCCATCAGAGAAAATCAAAACAACTCTGAGATTTCATCTTACACCTGTCAGAATGGCTAAGATCAAAAACATAAGCAACAGCTCATGCTGGAGAGGATGTGGAGTAAGGGGAACACTCCTCCATTGCTGGTGGGAGTGCAAACTAGTACAACCACTTTGGAAATCAGTATGGCGGTTTCTCAGAAAAATGGGAATCGATTCACCTCAAGACCCAGCTATAGCACTCCTGGGCAAATACCCAAAGGACACTCCATGCTACCACAAGGACATTTGCTCAACTATGTTCATAGCAGCTTTATTTGTAATAGCCAGAACCTGGAAACAACCTAGATGCCCTTAAACCGAAAGGCATATGTCACATAAAGAAAATATGACACATTTACACAATGGAGTATTACTCAGCTGTTAA